TCTAATTCTCTTAGTTGCACAAAATGCTTTAAATTCTAACTTATCATACTCTCCTCCGAACTTCAAGCCAGTCTGACTTGTGTTTTAGGAAATAAACTCATGCATTCCTGCTTAAATCATTTATGAAGGTGATGTAGAACTTGATCCACCAAGTGATGGAACTAAAGATGGTCTCCAAATATCTGTATTAACCATTTTCAACCGCACTTTTTTCGGTTCTCTAACAGCCTTTGTGAAGCTAACTTGTTTCTGTTTGACTATAATGCAGCTCTCACAAAGACCCATTTCTACAAATTTTATGCATTCTAAAACTCCTTTTGCAACCAGCATCTTCATTCCTTTGACGCTCATATGTCCAAGTCTATTATGTCATAAACTTGAATAGGAAGCACTCTTAGCAACAACATACATGTTTATAACCCTGCAATGGGGTATAAGGTTCCAAATTTTGTGCCACATGCTACCACCATAACACCCTTCACAATCTTCCACAAACAATTCTCAAACTCTACTGCATGTGTTATCCAACTAACCAATAGAGATCAGGTTCTTTTTTAGACCATGAAAATATTTGATATTTTTTAATGTCCACTGATTTTCTATTGAAGTTTGTATGTTGACATCCCTCTTCCCTTCAATATCCAAGGTTTTTTATTTGTCGACAAGATACACTTTTTTGAATTTTTTTTATTTAAAATTTCGAAACAATTCTGTACTTGGAGACGAATGAAACGATGCACCTGAATCCAAAATCCAAGATTCAATCGGATTGTCCACACTCCAGATGTAACGATACACCTTCCAAGGAGAGAGAGAAAAAAAAACCGCCGAAATCTCGCAATTTTCGGGCGGGATCCACTTAGGCTCCCTTAAACCCTAGGAGTGGCCGCCTCCTTTGGGTAGAAGGGATGCCAGTGTACTTCGGAGCAAGGGGAGGCAGACGCGCCACCGGAGAATGGATGAACGACGATGCATCCACCAACGACAGTAGCCAAACTCTGCGATTAGGGCCGTCGGGACTTTCGGACAAGGAAGACGAAGCGGCAAGCGTGGGTCAACCCTCAGCGGCTCTACGAACTTTTGGCTCGGCTAGGCTCGGCTAGGCGGCTCGACATCTTAATAGTATACCGATTCCTAGGTTTTCGACCCTTCTAGGGCCATTCCCACCCTTGTTTCAACCATCTAAGGTCAGTATAACTCCATTTTGGCAAAATAGCTTGCGATAGGGACGTACCTTGGTAGCTAGGCATAAGGGATAGTTGTGAAAGGGCTCTAAGCGTATCATGTTATCTTATAGGAGGAAGTTAGGCGCTGGAGTTAGCGTTGTGGGTGACTTTGGCCAAGGCCAAGGAGGTAAGTAACCTTACTGTTGGCGTTAGTTATGTACGTATGTTGGTGCGTGCCCTGTGGCCCTTGCATGCACCATCTGTTGTTGATGTATGCTAGGTTAGATGTTTCTTGCAGTGAAATGCTATGTATGCCATGTTTATGTATGTGATTCTTGTAGTGAAATGCTATGTATGCCATGTTTATGTATGTGATTCTTGCAGTGAAATGCTATGTATGTCATGTTTATGTATATGATGTTTGTGACACGGTTTGTTACCCTGTATGTATGATGAGCTTGATTGACATGTCATGATTGTAATGAGAACCCCGCATGCCATGAATGAGATGACTAGTATGCTATGATATGCTTGCTCAATGTTGAACCAGTTATGCTATGTAATGCGGCGAGGGGATGGAACGTTGTATGTATAATGCCATGGAGGTAAACCTTAAGAACCTCATGCACACTATGGTTATGTACCTGAGGCACTCCCCCGCTATGCTACTGATGGTATGGACACGTATATTCGATATTGTGTTCGCCACGATATCATGCAGGATCTCCTTTGTCCGTGGCGTCCGGTATTGTACGTCATACATACCCAACCAAGCCAGGCCTAGGGAGTTCGCTTACGAGCTCGCCTGGTGGGTCCACAGTCACACACGTGGGCCATGTGTGGGAAAGTACCATGCATCCACCCCCGCCTAGACAAAGTAAGGGCCTAAGGCCATGGGAAGGAATGGAAGACAGACCCCTCTCTCAGCTTCTTTCTTTTAACATTGTGCGACATGTATGGATGTTATGTGCGTCATGTATATGTATTGTGTGCGTCATGTGTGTGTATTGTGTGCGACATGTAGGTGTATTGTGTGCGACTACTTGTATCCGGATGTATGATTATATGCTTAACCCCAACAGTGGGGCGACTTACTGGTATTTTATATAATACTCAAGCCACGTGCTACCCCTATTTTCAGGTAAGGGCAAGGCTCCCATGTACGGCTGACGGTGGATGATGCAAAGGGCCATGGAAATCTTGAGGAGAGTTTGTAGTGTCGTAGGCGCCTTGTTGGTTTCTTTTGGGTTCATAGTTTTGCGATTGTTTCCTCTAGTTCTCTGTTGATTACTTCTAGGCTAGGTTGTTCTTATTGTTTTCCATAGGTATGAACTGCTTATATTAATGAATGCAATGTCGTTATTGAGACTGTCTCATGTGAACTCTTGTCCTGTTGATTAGGTGAGTATAAGGTAACGTCGCTAATTAGGGTAAAGAAAATTAGGGGCGTTACACCAGATTTGTGATCCTGTTCCTTTTTCTATTTTGTACAATCTGTTCATTTTGTTTGGGCCTTTTGATTTAATTATTCCCCTTCGATCAACACTAAAGTGTTTTATGATGAATCCTCAATTTCTCGTTTGCGAATACTTTCGCTGAGAACTAGATCTCGAATTTTATCGAACTTTTCTCAGATCCCTGAGAATTGTTGATCATAGTAACAACAGTATCCTAAGACTCGGGTAAGAATGACATCAAAACTAGTGCTTTAATTTCATCTCCGAAATTAATTCTTACTGAGCTTAATTGACTTACAATCATATCGAATTTATTTATATGATCTGCAACATATTCACCTTCGTATATTTGTTGTAACGACCCAGATCCACTGTTAGCAGATATTGTCCTCTTTAGGTTTTCCCTTTCGGGCTTCCCCTCAAGGCTTTAAAACACGTATGCTAGGGGAAGGTTTCCACACCTTATAAATGGTGATTTGTTATCCTCCCCAACCAATGTGGGACATCACAATCCACCCCCCTTCGGGGTCCAGCGTCCTCGCTGGCACTCTTTCCTTCCTCCAATCGATGTGGAACCACCCCTAAATCCACCCCCCTTTGGGGCCCAACGTCTTTACTGGCACACCGGCTCGTGTCTACCCCCCCCCCCCC